CACTTATCTCAAACTTCTCCCCAAGTAAATTTTCTAAAGTTCCTTTGAAGAATTCTCTAACTCTCAAATATCACTCAGAGGTGCAGAAAATGAAAGAGTTCTCTCACTTTTCCTCCTCTCCTGCACTATGAAGTGCTGGAAATATTAAACCCTACACTTTCTCCCTCCTCACACACACCTCATAACTTGAAGAGACACCTCCTTATATAACCCTTGAAATCCCCAAGAGTCACTTTATAAGATCCTTCAAAATTCAACCAAATATATTGAATTTGCATAAAAAACTTATTCTGACGTCAAGGCTCCAGTCTGGACGCATAGGCGCCAACCTTCTAGAAGCCTGAAATAATTGTCTGGTGCCTAGACGCCAGATCCTGGTGTCATGGCTTTGGGCTCTCTGTTTTCGCGTACAAAGTCTGGTGCCTATGCACCAGTTCACTTTTTGCTCCTTTGCTTCATTTGACCAAAGCCTATAAAAAGGGAGCTGCAGCTTGACATCCTTCACCGTAGACCTGAGCAACTCTGGTTGCCGCCACTAATGGTCGTTGTCGCCGCTTCTGACTACTGCCGCTCACCATTGGCCTCATGCACCTACCATCGACAGTTACCATCGCCACCATCAACCTCTTGCTCCTGCAATCACTGGCTAATATCGCAGACCACCTCCAAATATGGCTGTTGATGCCACTGTCATCGGCCAATTTTGGTTGCCGCCCTCGCTAGTCGCCACCACCGCCAGTTATCATCGACCATCATCGGACGCCACCTGCTCCTACAGCGAAGTCCCTTTGTAAAGTAACAATGCACCCCACTTATGGTGCAATGATATCTCTCGAATACACCATAACAATAGATCACAAAAATGGTGTTTTTCTATGAACACTTAAAGCTTTAACCTTGCAGCTCTCGACTGTAGCATCTGTATCCTACGAACGTCATCACAACTCACTACTATGACATGTGTGATCAACTAAAGCCGATGTGACCCATAACTCGTGCAGCTCCCAAATCCTTATTTTTGGGTTTGCGAATTTCGTCACAACTCACAACTACGACCTATATAGCTTATAGCTCATACAACTCTTGACTCCTTTCCCTGCGGCCTATGAACACACATCATAACTCACCATTATTATTTAAGTGAACAACTACGACATACATGATACACAACTCGTTTAGTTCATTACTCCAACCCCTATAGCCTACTGACATCATCACAACGTACCTCCACGACCTAAATGACCAACTATGACCAACATGATCCACAATTCATGCAACTTTCGACTCTAGCTCTGTGACATATGGACGTCATCACATCTCACCACTATTATCTATGTGACCAACGACGACCTACATGATCTTTAGCTTGTACAGCTTCTGACTCTGGCCCCTGTATCCTATGTTGTCCACAATATGTGTGGCTCCTTACTTTGGCCTCTATGACCTACAAATGTCATCACAGCTCACCACTACGACATATGTGATTAACTATGATTTACATAACTTATAGCTCCTACAACTTCATATTAAGACCTCTTTAGCCAACCAACACTCCTGAAGCAATCACCTACGGTCTACACGATCAACTATTGACAAGAATTTCAACTACAACCTATACGAGAAGCTTGCACTACGATCATCGTCTACAACATTTACAAAGGACTATTTCCTCCATAGCAATCGATTCCGGCTCTTGCAAACTAATATCATTGAAAACTACATTCATTATAGTCCGACTAAGTCTATTATCGATGAATCACTGTTATACATTTACAATAATCATCTTTGTAACTCTTTCCTAATTCAGGAGAAGTGTGAATCTGTATACTTATCATTCATAGTGCATCATTTCAACTGGGCTAGACTCCATATTTTTTTCTTAATTTTTTATGATTTGTGCATCCTACTACTTACTCCTCTTTAACTACCTAAGTATATGCTGAATTTTCGTGCAACGCTAAGACACTAAATTATGTTTATATTGTCGCGGACATTCAAAAACACATCAAATATTAAATTTTAAAATTAGTTTTTTGTATATTATATTAAATGATTTCTTTTTTTTTCTTGTTGATTGTTCATTTTATTTGTAATTTTATTATAACATTATTTTAAATTAATATTATTTTCTCTTTTATAATAAATAAGGCAGCTCTTGAATTATCTCAAATTCATAGACTTGAGCTCGCATATGGCCGTCATCACATCTCACCACTATTATCTATGTGACCAACGACGACCTAAATGATCTTTAGCTTGTGCAGCTTCTGACTCTGGCCCCTGTTTCCTATGTTGTCCACAATATGTGTGGCTCCTTACTCTGGCCTCTATGACCTACGAATGTCATCACAAGGGGGAGCCGATCCGTGACGAGGGCGTCACCTGATTGGGTGGAAGAGAATGTCACGGATTATAGTCCGACTAAGACTATTATCGATGAATCACTGTTATACATTTACAATAATCATCTTTGTAACTCTTTCCTAATTCAGGAGAAGTGTGAATCTGTATACTTATCATTCATAGTGCATCATTTCAACTGGGCTAGACTCCATATTTTTTTCTTAATTTTTTATGATTTGTGCATCCTACTACTTACTCCTCTTTAACTACCTAAGTATATGCTGAATTTTCGTGCAACGCTAATACACTAAATTATGTCTATATTGTCGCGGACATTCAAAAACACATCAAATATTAAATTTTAAAATTAGTTTTTTGTATATTATATTAAATGATTTCTTTTTTTTTCTTGTTGATTGTTCATTTTATTTGTAATTTTATTATAACATTATTTTAAATTAATATTATTTTGTCTTTTATAATAAATAAGGCAGCTCTTGAATTATCTCAAATTCATAGACTTGAGCTCGATGTCACGGATAAATAGTCCCACATTGGCTAGGTGTAGGGCCGAAAAACAGTATTTAAGTCCTGGGCTGCCCACCACCCATAAGAGCTCTTTTGGGAGGTGACATCGAGCTCAAACTCAAATTTGATAAAATAACTAAAGTTGAAGTCATCGTTGGAGCCTGACTCGTAGTCACTTCCATTCATTCTAAAACTAGGTACTGTTTCAAATATCACAAAAAAAAAAAAAAAGTTTTATTATAACATTATTTTAAATTAATATTATTTTGTCTTTTATAATAAATAAGGCAGCTCTTGAACTATCTCAAATTCATAAACTTGAGCTCGAGCTCAAACTCAAATTTGATAAAATAACTAAAGTTGAAGTCACTTCCATTCATTCTAAAACTAGGTAATGTTTCAAATATCACCAAAAAAAAAAAAAAAAATCCCCCTAAATATGCGACGCACATCCGATAGGAAATGCGACCATAAGAATACGACACGTAAGCGAATATCCTCTTCACTTCTCCGACCCTCTTCTTCCCCTTCCTAAACGAGAGAGAGAGAGAGAGAGAGGAGGGAGACGGCGTCTTCCTAAACGAGAGAGAGAGAGAGAGAGAGAGAGATAGAGGAGGGAGACGGCGAGAAAGAAAGGTACATAAATTTCACTCTTCTGGGCATAAATCTGGGTAAAGAAAGTTTGCTTGTTCAGCTTGATTATCAAGTTGCCTTTGCTAATGAAATTTTTTTAGAATAGAATATTTCAAGTCAAAGTTAGATTTACACGTGCTGATAACCCATAACAATTACTACTCCTATAGTGATGAAATCCTGATTATGATTGATAAACTATCAAACAAAATCCATTTGAAATAATTAAAATCTAAGAAAAATTGTCTCTGTAATAGCAGTAGTGAGCAGCCGATGTAGTGCGTAATAATTAAATTTTAAGAATTCAATCTTGTGTAATGATCAAAATTAGCAACAATAAATATTTGCTCAGTTGTTTGCATTTTCATTAACTGCAGTAGCACACCAACACAATTTTTGGAGATAGTATGAAGAAAATTAATGATTAACAAGGACATTTTAGCTTTACTTTAAATGCCTGCCCAAGGTTGGAGGGGTAACTCAATAGGTAGATTAAATGAAGGGAGAAAGTTTCAGATATAAGAGGCTGCTGGCGTTAGCAGCCAGCTAAACAAAACACCTCAACAAAGCTGTCACCCTATCAAGATCTGAAATCTCTCATCTAATGACACTAAACCGGTACTCTTAATGCAGGGTTCAATTATCATCCCTCTTGGCAAGCCCGGTCTGCAACAAACAAACAACAATGCACAGACTGTCAAACTCCTTTCAAATGTTGAAAAGCTCAGGCTGCTAACCAAGGCAGAGAAAGCAGGACTGCTCTCACTAGCAGAGAGATTTGGCCTCTCACTCTCAACTGTGGAGAGGCTGGGTCTTCTTTCAAAGGCAGAAGAGCTTGGAGTTTTATCAGCAGCCACAGACCAAGGCACCCCAAGCGCCTTCCTGACACTTAGCCTTGTGCTTTTATTCCTGGGGCCTGCTTTTGTCTATCTTGTGCCCGAGGACAATGCCTTGGAGGTAGTCTTACAGGTTTTGGTGGCCATAGTGTGTGTCGTTGGCGGATCCGCTTCCTTCGCTGCTTCAAATTTCTTGTCAAACTTGCAGAGATCCAATTGAGTTTTGCGAGTCTTGTGCATCTGACGATGGTCATTTTGGTGCAAATGTTAGCTTGTTACTTGCTCGGATTCCTTTTGAACTCTATGTATTAGGCAATAACAAGCATGTCAGCTTCTGGGGAGAACTTTGCATGGTTAGTAGGTATTTGCTAAATTCTTCTTAAGAAATTCAGGTTGTATGTATGTATGTATGTATGTATGTATGTATGTATGGAAACTTTTGGAGTAACAAACAATAATTCAGCTCTACAAATTGAATGCAATAATTTTCAGCCAAAAAGGAGGCTTGCTACCTGATAAATTATTGGCTGCTAGTCATTGGCTGCTTGTAAATAGAAAATGTATTTTAGAAAATTATGATTTTATTTTCAGTTGGTTTATGTGTGAAATTCGATGAAATACACCAAGTTTCATTATTATATATCTCCCAACAAACTTTTGTGCAACTGCTATTGTAACTTTAAGCATTAAGAGCTGAAGAAGATAGCTTAAAGCTTGAAGTGAAGAACAAGCTCAGAAAATTTCTCATTATTGTATTTCATAGTATTTAAAGTAAATGATTAACCAAATTCCTTGCTTTCTACCTAATTTGATGATTTATATATAGTGAACTTTTATCATATTTTTGAAATCCTACTTTGTGCATGAGCTGATTTGAATCTTCGTACTTCACATGGATATAGGAACGAGAGGAACAAGAGATTGTTCTACGAGTTGTGTGTGTTGATGTTCCCAATTTTCTTTTCTGTCTAAACTCTTTTTCACCCAATAGAGAAAGCTTGAAGAAGTAGGCATAATAAACCTCCAATCAACTTTGTTTTCTTTTCTCTTTATTTTGGTTAATTGTATATCCAGATTTCTTTTAGATTGAGTCCAAGTCAAGTGATGAGATTAATTTTCACCAAATCAATAGTTCAGTTCAACCTGCTAGATTAATATTTCAACTGGGCCAATGAGCTCATTTATATTTTAACTAATCAGATGAACCTGTTAGCTTGATCGATCAATTTGTCCAGCTATTTTGACCATCTAATTTAGCAAATAAGCTTGGGTCAAGTATTCAGCTTGGTTAGTTAATTTCACAAGCCAGTTTGGTCAAAGTATTCAGTTAATTAGCCTGGTATATCCAGCTATCAGGCTTCATGCACCATAATTGTTATATTTCATTTCTATGTATTCATTATTTTTTGTGTAGGGTCCTTTTTGTTGGGATTATATGGTTTCCTTTATCCATTTGCCACTATTGCTTTCATGGTGATTAAAGGTGTAGTGAAAGTGGAGTATATCACAAATTAGGTGAGGAGTGATTCGTTGAGCAAAATTATGCACCAGAGTTAATTCAACAGTTATGGAATACACTAGGGAGTTTGTGACCCCTAGTGTGTTCTGATGCCATTTGGTTCTTTAAAATTTGGGCCACATAGAAGAAGGGTACCAATTAATATATAGCCCAAAGGGTTATACCTTATAATTTATTAGGAGACGAAAATGAAACATACTATGATGGTAGTGAAGGTGGTACCCCTTTTGATCATTGGCTATAATTTATTAGGAGACGAAAATGAAACATACTATAATGGTAGGTGGTACTCCTTTTGATCATTGGGGAGACAAGAGAAGGCACACTATACAATAGAAAAAACATTTGTCGGAGAATGTGTTTCTTGACATCATTTTTTGTCAACCTTATTTCTTTGGCTTAAGCTTAACTGGACTTCACTTGAGATTGGTCTTGAGCAAACCCTAACTTGAGAAATTGAATTTTTATCTTAACAAGAATCAAAACAATCAAAATAATTTTCAAGCCACAATAATTTTAACCAAACTCAGAGATAACTCTAAAATTAGCCTTAATCATCAAAATCTTGGGATTATTATTATTTTAACTAAGGCTATTATAAAACTCAAAACCTCACTTTGAAAGTTGCACGAGACATTATTACTTATAAATACCATGCAAATAAGTTTGATGATCGTTTGAAATAAATTTTATATAAAACTCTTCAATGTAAATTTTCATGCATGACGATTATTGTCGTAAACCCTATAATTATTATTTTCTTCCACAGGTCAATCCAGTGATCCCAATTACATTATGTAAGTTGCATGAATTTCATATTCACATATGAAATCATACAAAATAGTTTTGGTGGTCATCGAACAATATTTTTACGTAAAATTGTGCACACAAGGTTCTCATGCATGAAAAATAGTCATGCATAAGAATTTTTCGACGAATCATTATTTTTTAAATTGGATTTCACAATTACACCTGTATCGTCGAAATCTTTCAAATAAATCTCTTCGTGCCTAAATCTAGTCTCGTTTGGGTACCTCTTGAGCCTGCGATAATTAAGAAACAAAAAAACATAATTTCAATAATAAAACAATATTTGACTTTAACTCTCTCAAAATGACTACAAATCAACTCCAAACTCTAACAAAAATAATTCTAAATTTAAAAATACACAATTTGAACCAATAAAGTCCATTAAAAATTTTTGCTACAAAATAATCTTCTCTCTCTTAGGGTTTGGGCCCACTTTAACAGTCATATCTTTTTATTGAACTTGAATTAGCCAAAATCATTTGGACCATTGAATTCCTTGTATTTTTTTCCATTAAATAAGCCCAAGTCAAATTTTGGTCATAACCAACTCTCAACTATCTTGTAATTACCCCACAAACCACGTAACCACTTTAAATGCTTGTATTTTGAGCTACATAGCTCCTTTTTTGAAAATGTTTGAGCCATTAAATTCCTTATCTTGTCATCTTTCAAATGACATACTTTGATTTTTTTCCTAACTACCATAACTATCTTTGCAAATTTACCAAAATGCCCCTCCCCTTAGCCAAAATTACAATAATCTCCTTTTAACCCTATCTCTTCATTCCTATTCATCCTAGCCAACAGTTCATTGATCCATTGCCTCTCTTCCCATTGGTCCATGCCTCCTTAATCCCTTTCCCCTCTACATCATCATAAATCACGACCACCCATTTCATATCTCTAACTCCCCACTCAATCCTAACCATCCATGCCCCTGAACTCCATTTCACTACAAAATAACCACCCCACTAGCCACTACTTGAATGAAACTCGCTCCAAACCCCACACATTCATCCCATTTCGTTCCTCCCTCATCCCTCTCTTGAGATCCCTCTCCAAACCACCAAAACCGGAGCTCCCATACCCTTTTCAAAACAAAAAGGTGAAATTTCTTCTTAATCCCTCATCAAACCAAGAACACAGAGCAAGGCAAAGAGGATCTTCAAGAAAAGCAGTTCGAACAAGAAGCAAGGAGTTTAAAGGTATGACTTCTAATCTTCCATATTAAAAATTCTTCATCCACAATTTTGAATGTCTTAATGTATGTAGTATGTCACATAATGAACTTTAAAATTCACCATGGGTTTTTAAAATCTCAGATATCTTTTTCATGTATCATGTGGTTCCTTCAAATGTTACCATGAATTTTTAGGAGTTTTCTTGTTTATGTTAATTTTATGTTACAATTTTAAAAATTAACCATGTATTTTTAAAATATTTTGCGCTTTCTCCACATAACTTGTTTATCTTGAAGATTTACCATGTAATCATCAAGCTCTTTATGGTTTCATCATGTCATAAGTTAATTTCAGAAGTTTATTACATATTATATAGTTTAAATCATAGGGCTTTTGATTTTGTGATATAATTCATTAATGTGATGTCATATTGTTTAATTGACATGCTCACTTGTTATTCTTAACAAAACCAAAATGTATTGTCTATGTTTCATGTCAAAACTTTAGGGTTTTTCTTAATTTATATGTTATATAGCATAAATGTTGAGTTTTCTATAGAAAATTCAAGGGATTTTTCATTATTTCATGTTTTATTATGTCAATTACATGTTTATTCCTTACCGATCACTAAAATCAAAAGCTTGGCCTTAGGATCTCCAAAAGCGAGAACTTCAAGGTTGTTTTTCCCTCATAGCCGAACCTAATTACCTTCAAACCTCGCCAGTTAACATTGGAACATGACTTATTCTTAATTACTTTCTAATTAAAGGCTAAAATATTCTAATCTCTCCTAATTCATCTAAACCAAACTTAATTTTCTTTAATCACAGCAAAACTAATCATAAACCACCTTAATTAACCTTAAAACAAGATTGAAGCACATTAATTAAGATTAATAAATAATTGATTGATTCATAAGCTTACTAAAAAACAATAAATTAATTTAATCAAATAATAAATCGCTTGATTAATTAATATCGGTCAATTAACTCATTAATTAACAGAAAACATAAATTTAATTAATTTATTTATAATTAGTTAATTAGATAATATATATACTTAATTAATATATTAATTAATCAATTAAACTAATGACATTCTTCAACTTTAAAATACTTAGATAAATCACTAAATACATTAATAATTAAATGAAATAATAATTAAATTTGTCAAGACATTAATTGATAAATAAATGAATTAAAATTTTCATTAAATCATAAAATTTTAATAATCATACTTAAATCTTAAACTAAATTATAATTTAAACATTAGCTTAACATTTTAAATAAACTTTAAGAAGACAGTTAATTAAAATTAATTAAAAAAACTGAAGAAATAATTCATAAAGAGATTAATTAAAATAAAGACATAAAGGGCATAAATGATAATGTTCATCAATTAAATAATCAATTAATCAAATTTCAAGCAAATGTTATACATACCAAATCAATTAATCAAATTTCAAGCAAATGTTATACATAAATAATTAATCTACTAATGTTAAATCATTTAATATTTAACCAGAGCAAATGTTATACATACCAATTAAGGAAATAAATAATTAAATCATTTAGAAAAACAATAATTTTTCAATTAATTAATAGCATACCAATTTGAAACCCTAAAAATATTTAATTTAAACTTAAAATAATCAAATATCTAAATAAATTAATTCATTAATTAATTAACCAATCAAACCTAATAAAATCCTAACCAAAGGCCAAACAATTAACCCTAGCTAGTTTTACATGAGTTCAATTTGTAGAGAATATGTGTATATATA